CAGAGAGAGACACACACAGAGAGACACAGAGACAGAGAGAGAGACAGAGACACACACAGAGAGAAAGACAGAAAGACACAGAGAGAGAGACAGAGAGAGAGAGAAAGAGAGAGAGAGAGAGAGAGAGAGAGCACATATCCAACCTGGAAATGAAGCTCTCAAGCAGAGCAGCACAAATTCCTCCAGCAATTGAGAAACTGAAAAAAAACCTAGATCTCTATCTAATGCCTAAATTCTATGGAGCAAAAAAGAACATCAATGACTCCTGAAAAAGGCACATGCAGCAGGATGAAAGGGAGAGATGGAGACTTACCCGAGGTACGAATACCTGCATGAGGGCAAAGGTTGGCAGGAGGAGGAGATGAACAGAAAGAAAAAGAGAGATGGTAGATGAGTGATCTGCCGCTACCCAGAGCAGGAAGGACCCAAGCACGACGCTGGGAAAGACACTCACAAGAGCAAGTCCTGCTGGTTACGTTGGAAGACTTCCCCAATGTGATGGAAGATGGTTGGGGTAAATAGGTAGATGCCACAGTTGATGAGCTCGCTCACAAAAGTGCTGGGCTTCTCCACATAGTGCAAGACCTGAAAAAAAAGTGGGGGGGGGGGGGAATATAGGTGGAAATGACAAGAGCCTTGCCAAAGTTATACACTATCCTGAGGGGAAACCTGGGATCTAGCAGGCAGCAGGCAGGACTCACTGAAAGGCCTTCTCTTTTTGGCTCACCAGTGGGTCCTGCCTCCTTCCCAGACACATCCCCTGCCTTCTGCCTGGCTTCATACCTTCATACCTCGTGTGTGTCAGCATTTGCCACAATACAGCCATAGTTCAGAGACTGCTTCCTATTGGCCTGCAGAAAATGAGATTGGCACAGATGCACTGAGGGGACAGAAACACTTGAAGCTTCAAAAGAGGGTCTTAAGAAGGGTCTAGGCTCTCCTGCCTGGTGCCCCGGGACTCCCCAGATAACTGACCCTCAGTTTCCCAACCATTCCTTCATGACTGACCCAGTTGGGAAGGCAAGACTGTCTCTTACCGTGGTGCCCAGCATGAGGAAGCTGTCGGAACTGCCACGCTGACAGTGGAAGGCAAGCATCTCTTCGAGAGGGAATTCAGAGCAGACATCAGCATTCAGCACAAAGAAGGCTGCAGGGTTACCTGAAAGGATCTGGTCACGGAAGTGATAGATACCTCCACCTGTGCCAAGTGCTGCATATTCCTGGAGATACCTACAGAAATTAGAAATTCACCTTATTAGATGGCCTTTGGAGCCTCCAACTTATACAGCCTCCAAGGGTCTTCAAACTTGGCAAGTTTAAGACTTGTGGACTTCAACTCCCAGAATCCCTGAGCTAACATGACTGAAGGAGGAATTCTGGGAGTTGGTCCACAAGTCTTAAAGCTGTCAAGTTGGAAGACCCCTGTTATAGACTCTCTACTTTTTATTTTAGGATAAACACAAGTACTACATCTACCTCATCCAACATGAGGCACGGTCCTCAGTCCTTAGGAAAAATTACATATGGGTAGAGCCAAAGGAATTGAAAACTTGGAATCAAAAGGTAAAATACATTTAGAATTCCTAGGAGTGACAGGCCTTAAAATAACCACTGGCCACCCACCTGATAGGGATTTTGAACTCTTGCTGGGCAGATACCAGGAATTGGTTGAGTGCCTCATTAGGTTGATAGAAGCCAATCAGAAGAATCTCCTTCAAATTGGGCACCTGTTAGAGATGGCAGGAAAAGCATCAGGGCATAGCTGACTTCATTTTCTTGCTTGCTTGCTTCATTACCTGATTATGATTTTAAGGTAAGGCAACAAGTGCCCTTCTAAAATTTAATCTGAATAACCCCCTTACCTTAGTGCATGCCTCAATGTGATGCTGTATCATGGGTACCCCTGCCACTGGGAACAAGGGTTTGGGCACTTCGAAGGACAAGGGCCTGAAGCGGGTCCCTGAAAAAAACAAGCCAAGACAATTTCAGAATCAGGAGCCAACCTTCCCCCAGAGTTCGCCCCTCCTTTTGGTCTGGCAATCTTCTGCCAGAAGCCAGGCTTAACAGACAGTAAAGCACGAAGTGGATTGCAAAGTGTTATAAGGGGGAAGGCGTCCTTGCTTTTTTTTTTTTTAAATGCATCTTAATTTAGGCAGCCCCAAAAGAAACATGGACAGGGTTGTGGAAATCAGTTCTGTACTGCACAGATCGTCCAGCCTTTTAAGGGAGCCCATTAACCAAGGGGAATCTATCTAGCCACCACTGTGAAGGAGGGTTGAAGAAGATGGGGACGTTTAGCCTGGCCCAGAGAAGGCTGTGGAAGGGAGATGGCTGCTCTGAACAGGAGGAAAATCAGCGGGGCTGGGTGTGGGGGACAGAAGTCAACTAAGGGTTAAATATACTCTTGCATATAAAAGCTGTTGGCTAAAGGAACACGTCAAACCCGCACATCGTAGGCTCGGTTTTTTTTGGGGGGGGGGCGGGTGTATTTCACCAAATCGCAGACTGGCTTTTCTTTCGGCAAAGGGGCTGCTGCCCTACCGCCTCCAGCCCGAATGGGCATCAGCTTCCGGGAGGTGTCGAGGGGATATCAGCTCACCTTTCTGGGGACCCCCGATTAGGATCACGGCTTTCAGCATGGCCCGCTTACGGGGTCTGGACGGTGGGGGAAGACGGCGTCAGATAGACTCTACCCTTAGGGCGCGAAAGACCTCCGAGGCGAGATCTCCTCTCAGCTGGAACACGGCCTTCTGCTTCCGAGCACGTGAGAATGCCACGTCACCGGTTCCACCTCTTCGTGGATCTCTAAGCTCAGGAGGATTTACAGCCTTAAAGCCGCAGGAGAAGAGCCGCGGGGCGGGAGAATTGGGATTCTCCCGCAGAAATGCCCGGAAAGCTCAAAGCATCCGCATCTTTTTCCCGCCTTTGCATCCCCGTCCCGCGTAGTTACGGGGCCGAGGCGCGATTCAGCCCGAAGCTCCTGCCACGACTCCAGATGGCCCAAAATGCAGTGCGGGCACCGGTTTCGTTCCTACCGGCCGCTTTCGGGTTTAATTTCCTTTGGCCTCGACTCCTGGAGACTCAAGGAACGATGACACGGGACTAATTAGGCTTTGCCTGTTTCCGACTTATAATCCAGCCCGTAGATTTGGGGCTGTTTTGGTCATTTCTCCATCACAAACACGTATCTGTAATGACCGTACTTAAAATGTTTTGGGCTCAGCCAAGGTAGGATAGTAGATGACGCCACTTGCTGTAGATTCCAGTTCAAGGGGACTTATTTCGGTGGACGTGGATCACAGATGACACTGTCGGGTTCGGGCCGATTTATTTATTTCCTTTATTATTTATTATCCCCCCTTTATTATTTCCGTAAATAACTCAAAGCCACGAACTTATCTAATGCCCCTTCCTCCTCCTGTTGTCCCCGCAACAACCACAACCCCATGAGGTGAGCTGGGCTGAAAGAGAATGATGGGCCTCACCTGGCCACCGGGCTGCCTCTTCTGTTTCTTCTGCTTTTGGCTGCATGCAAGGAAAGCAGCGAAAGTCTTTCTTTCCCCCAAACTCCACCAGAAATGAGTCTTTGGGACCCTGCAAGGCATCTTGCTCCAAGAGGTTGCACCTTCACGACGAGTCTCACAAAGACTCATTTCTGGCAGAATTTGGGGGAGAGAGAAAGACTTCTGCTACTTCTGCTTTCCTTGCATGAAACCAAAAGTCTCTCTCTCTCTCTCTCTCTCTCTCTCTCTCTCTGTCTCTCTCACACACACACCAAGAACTGAGCTGGAGATGGTATCCTGTGATCCCAAAGAAAGAATGATTGACCGGTAGGAAAACGGGGTGGGGAATTTCCCTGCAGACTTTTGGGGGGATTTTCCCAGGGTCTCTGGTCCGCGGGATTTAAAATTATGAGTTTGGTAGTCCCTGAGGTCTAAAAGGTTGGCAACCCCTAATCTAGAGTGTCCTGCAAGACAAATCAGGTGATGTCAAGATTCATGAAGAAAAACCTTGCAAGAGGACAAGGAACAAATGTGCCATTTTTGCCTGTCTTGGAATGTCAGAAATAAATTCAAGTTGCTGAGACTAGAGCCATCTTTAAAACCCACCTTTAGTCCCCAACTGATTTCTCTTCAAGACTGGGCAGGGCTTATCTGTAATAGTTCATCCATTGGATGGTAACACAACCTGAACTGGGTCATGAACATTAAATCCCATTCTGCTAAGAGTCCTATAAAGCTTTAGGAATGTGAGAGGGTTGCTAAGTGTTTTCAGATGAGGTTTTTATTATGCAGTTATCGCTCTGCAAAATCAGATTTTTTTGAGGTGGGTGGGGGAGGATTCTTCGCTGTGCGTTCTTGGTCCTGTGCTGTCCACAGGAAACTTTTTAAGTAGGGAAAGCAGGAGTAGCTTTGCAGTGTCTTTGAACGAACAGCATTAAGAAACTGGCAGGAAATCTGCTTCTAGATGCAGTCCAAGATCCTGTTAACACCTGTAAAACTACATGGCTTGGGGCCAGGTGAATTAAAGGACCGACCGCCTCTTCCCTACTGCATTTACATAGGCAGGGCATATCACGGATCCTATAGACTAGGGATTGTCATTTGATGGGACCATAAAAAAGATCCTTCTTGGTGGTGACCCTTTCATTATGGAACCTCATTCCCCCCAAGATAGGGTGGGTCCCCACCCAGTGGGTCCCCACCCTGCTACTTTTCCAAAAAGCCCTAAAAACCATGGTTCTGTCAGTGGGCCTGGAAACCACTGATGGAGATGATCAAAGAGCTGATTTGATTGTATTGTTGCTGCCATGAGGATGGGTGGGATGGTTATTTTTAATGAGTTTGTATTACCGGGTATATACATTTTTATATCAATTTATTTAATAAATAAGTGTCCTGTTTGAAGACAAGTTTTTGTCAAGGGAGCACTCATAACATGATTTGGAAGGAACGGAGATCATCTGCTTCGCTTCCCCTCATTTGGATCCCCTCATGTGGACAAGGTGACGAGGAAAATTTGGAGACTGAAACAATCCCCAATATGGTCAGGAAGAGTTATTTATATCTCCAGAGCAGCGGACTGAAAAAGGGATCCTGCAGTGTTTCTGACAATCGGCAGGAGGCAGCATTGCCAAGAAAAAGAGGTGGGTAGACTTCTTGGTGTCCAGAAGGTGCCTTCTTCATTGAGAAATGCTTTTAGTCTTCAGGAACCTGATGTAATCCACAGCCTGTGCCCTAGACATGCCAAGGTTGCAACTCCCATCATCCCCAGCAAATATATACAAAGTGCACAGGTTGGGGAAGTCACAGAATATGGACTCGGAAGAACTGTAAAACGTTCTGATGACTGGGTTGCTTATCCACCATGCAAATTGAAATCTCCGCTAGTAATCCTGAGTAACCATGGTGCATTTATGCGAAGTATATTAATCCTAATTGTCTGATTCAATACACTAAATTGCCAAACCCTGGTTTTCAAACCACACCGGGTTGAGACATTACATAAAGCCAAGTCAAACCATTTCTTAGCTGTGCTCAACATGGAATACCAATCCCAGCTAGGAGCAGCAGAGCAGATCCAATCACAAAGCCGAGGAAGCATACCAGTTCTTATCCATGGCAAAAGTTATGTCAGGAAAAGAGGAGAAACGCTAAATCAGCTAAAGGTGTGACTTTTAAGTTGCATGAGGTGTGGACTGGGGCTGAGACAAAAGTTATGAGGGAATGTTTAACGATAATAATGGCCCGATAGGCCAAATCCAGTAATCTCTGGCTGACTGCAATAAATCATCATCATAATCATCATAAAAACTCACAAAACAGTAATAGAGTCATTTGGTTTTATTTAGTTTGTCAAGCAAGAAAATGGGCCCCGAAGAATCTGGGATGGCTGACTGTTTTGGCAGCACTGGGGGAAAGACCACTGGAGTGTAGTCTCTGCCCTGCCCCTTTCATGCCCCCACCTAGATGGCTTTTCAGTGAACTTTCCTTATGACATATTGATGGCAAAGCTATTGATAAGCTGGTAGTCCTGCCTGCTCAAGAAATAGATTGAGCCCTGGAGCAGAGTAATGGGGAGTTATTCTTGCCAGCAAGTCGGGAAAAAGTTGTACCCTCATTGAAGCTGTCCTGTGTGAGTGAGAGACCCAAAGCATCAGTGAAAGAAGTAGCCGGGCTCTGGGGTATGGCAGTGGAACAAAACATCCCTATTGCTCCAGTTGATCTGTTTTTAATTGCATTCCCCAGCTGTGAAAGCTGGGTACCGACTGGAGAGCTTCTTTTGGGGTGGGTCAGACTGTGGGGAGACAGGAGCTCAATTCACATCAAGGCGTGCAAAAGACTGATCCATGCCCAGGCTGTTCTCCACAAAGACCTCATACTTCCCAGCATCTTCTGGAGTCACTTTCTTGATAGTGAGAGTCGTTGAGTCACTGCCAATGTTATAGTACACTCTGCAGAGAAAGGAAAGAGGATCAGAACTCAGGAACCCATTTTAAGACCTATAATAGAAAGAAGTTTCTTCCTGACTTCCATCAGCTTTCTACTAAGGAATCAGCAGTTATCTGGACTAGTGTGCCTTCTCCTTCATGCCCTGTCAATTCAAAGGATCCTAATCAAAGGGCAACAAGCTCTTTTTAACCTGACAGTCACTAGAGAAAGAACTGCAGAAAGAGGAAGAATAATAATCATACTATTGGAAGTTTATATACTGTATTATAAACATTTAAGCTACAACATCATCTGTTTTTTCTCTGTGCCTAAAAGTTACCAGCAAGGGCTTATCTGATCAAGGAAGGAAGATCAGAAATATCTTATTATATCTTTGTTCTCACTCAGTTACCCCCGATCTGAGGCTACCCCTCCAATACCCAGGGCCGGGCTTCACTCACCGATTATCCTCTTCAATATCCTGCCCATCCTTGGCCCAGCCAACATCAGGGGCTGGCTCCCCACTGATGTGAGCCGTCAAATTGACTGTGCTGCCTTTCTTGGCTTTTAAGTTGTCCGGGCCTTTCTCTATCTTGGCAGGTACTACAAGAGAAAAAAAAAAAATAAGATCAGAGCTGGGCCCTTCCACCAGACATTTTCTGCCTGGGGAAGACCTGTTCCTGGGACACAGCATTCTAATGCTGTGTGTCCAGATGTGTGAGTCTTTTTCCACGTGCTGGCGTTGCTTTTCCTGTAATGGTTGTTACCGCTGAGTAATTGCAACTTAGCATCCGCAGGTGTTGTTAGGGATTATGTTGCAAAGAGAGCTGCCATAGCCACTTCTCAGTGCATCAGAAAAGATTTCTGCATACTTCCAGCTAATTTAAGTATCTCCTCTGTCTCCTGTGAACACATAACACAGGATATATAGGCATAGAAAGGAGCAATTATCCATTTGTTGCCTTTGTAGATTTTTTTAAAAAACAATTGAACTTGCATTCTAAAAGTGTAAAATAATCCAAGTATTCAATAAAATCCCCTTTATGAACTCATTTTATCTAAAACCTAAGAGAGTGGAACTGCTGTGGAAATCAACATTTGTTGAATGGTGTTTCTATTTCTAGTCTTTTCTGATAAATTGTTAAAAGGAGAAAAAAAAGAAGAAATGGGATGTTGGCTGATAATTAACATAATGTAATATTTTTAAACGTCTCTATGACATTACTGAAATAAACTATTGTCAATTTGCATTAAAACCCATCTGAAAGGAATTCTGAGATTATTGGGATTGTGAAAAGTGACTCTGTTAAGTTTGTCCTGGAGTTTTTCTAGAATATTTTAGGGCACACCTGGATTATGTTGAGGCACTCTGCAGACTTGAATTAGTCTACGACTATTTGCCTGCTTAGAAAGATGGATCATTCAGTCTCCTTGCCTAGTTCTATTTCTTCTCTCCATTGTTCCATCTGTTCTTCCAAACATTGCAAACAGACAGATGCATGATTATGAAAAAAAAAACTATTCTTGGGGCATTTAGTTAGAACACCCTAGTATCTAGAATTTAGGATACCTTCTTGAGATTATCACTCTGTTTTG